AGATATGTGTGTAGTAGATGTTGCGTCTATGACAATCATATACTTACCGTCGTTCAGTTGTATACAAAATAATTAGAACTACGTTAATATCATCATTAATAACAAAATAAACGCTATGCGGTATCTGAATCGCAGCATACGTACCTGAGCAGAGGCTCCAGATTTGAGGAAAGGATTGAGAAACATCATGAGTAGTCATCATTCCTAGTCCATCCTTAGCGCACGCCTTACTTCATAGTTCCATTATCCGTTCGAGCATATAATCCGGTAAGTAAGCGAAAATGTTAACACTACACGCATTTGTGTCATTTATGTCTCGCGTGCTGTACCTCATAAGTTGTTAATAGCTTTGTTCATAATTTTCTATAAGTTTATTTCAGTGTTGGTGTAATCCGCTAATTTAATATCAGTATATTTGTCTTTTATCTCGACAGAAAAGCAGAACTCTTTGCTGGTTATGTTGAAACTACAAACATTCAAAATGGCAATGCTAAACGAATGACAATCGACCATATTTTGGCAGAAGGTGACGTACTGCTAAATCATATTACTCAGTAAATTTTAAAACTCACCCTTACCGACATAACTTACACATGGTTTAACAATCAACCAAATTTTCGTACCTTCATTTTCATGAAAACTACTTTCGTCCTCGGTGATTCTCATCGAATCATACAGTACCACACTTTGAAACCTGGACTGACTGAGGACGCTCGACCAATCTGCATCGCGATCGCCGTTGGTGCTCACCGATCGCCTTATCCTGAGATTGCAAGGACCCTGAAATGCGTCGCTGAATATCAAGCTACTGGATCCAACCGCTTATACCGGAAATCGGCATGACTCGCAGATTTCGACCGAACATGAAAAGTAAACATCGTCTGACTGTGGAAACCTGAACGCAGTCATTGGCAAGTAGTAGATGATGTCATCGTTGATTTTCGTTTTATTCATCATTTCAGTTATACTGTCACGTACAGAGCACCTAAAACAAACAAATGTGCTACACCCAAATTAATCATTTTACACCAGTCGATAACTCCGCCATGGCCGGTCCCAAGCCCGGATGAGAAAGGAGGAGGGTTGGAGACCGTGGCAAGTC